GCGTGATAAAAATTAAACCGATACCTGCTTTTCCTTGTATAACGGTGCCTGAGCCTTTATCTTTTCTGGCTGATGAAGCACCGTCAAAGTACATTTCCCAGCATTGCACATTGGAGAATTCCATTTATAGTACTTGTTCATCTTGTAGTTCGTCGTTGAGAGGGGACCCAGCTGGCAGTGGGTGTGCAACGAGAAAGTCTACTAGAATTTGTCTCTTAATAGCACGGAGGGGAACAAAATTTATATCAAATTGCAATAAGATCATTGATCATCTTACTAGACGTCCAGAGAGTGTTGATCGGGTCATCGAATATTGCAACAGGTTAACTTTTGAAATTAGAGTAATCTTATGAGAGAGCATGTAATGTGTAAGCTTTTAGGTGTCAAAAATTAACGCCAGACAATGCTTCTCAATAGGTGGATAGCTCATCTCCGTCGGTATTAGACGATAACTTAAGTAGTAGAGTGTGTTTTTTTTACCCTCATCATTGACATGGGCTAAGAGGGCTCCAAGATAGTCATCTAAAGCCACGGTATAAAGTATCAACGGTTTCCCTGGGACAGGTCCTGAAATTATTATTGTTATACAACAGTTGGCATTGTGAATTTTTTAATACGCAAATAATCAGCATTTTCATCCTCTCTACTCCCAAATGAATTTGGCATCCTTTTTATTTAATGTCAAAAAGGGCTGACACCTACTTGAGAGATTAGAAATAAAATTTCTCAGATATTCCAACTTCCCCTGGAAGGAACGTAATTGTTTTAAGGTTTTAGGAGAAGGCATTTCTAAGATCAAGATGGCTTTAATCTTATCCGGGTCGATCTTGATTCCCTGATGATGGACAACGAATCCTAGAAATTTCTTGGAGGTAACGCCAAAGGTGTTTTTTAAGGGATTTATTTTAAGGTCATATCGTCGTAACCGTTCAAACACAATCCTTCAATCGTACAAATGGTCTATTTTTTGTTTACTTTTGATGACCAAATCATCCACGTGGCATTCCACTTAATTATGAATGAGGTCGTCAAAAATCTTCGTCATTGTTCATTGGGCTGTAGCTCCAGCGTTCTTTAACCCAACCGCCATTACTGTGTAACAGAAAATTCCAATCGGTGTTCGAGAGGCTGTGAGGGCTGCATCTTCAGGAGCCATCTTGATTTGGTTGTACCCCGACGATCCATCCATGAAGGAGAAAACTTTGTGTGTTGAAGCGATATCCACCATCATTTCTAATATTGGTAGCAGAAACTCGTTTTTCGGACATGCTTTATTTAGATCTCTGAAATCCACACAAACGCGTATCTGTCCATTTTTCTTCTTGACTGGAACAATGTTAGCTAACCATGTGGGGTACTGCTCTTCCCGCACAAAGTTAGCATCTATTAATTTATTCACCTCGGCTATGACTTGTTATTCTATTTCGAGGCGCATTTGTCTGGGGGCTTTTTTTAAAGGAGTAATATATTTGTCCACCCCGAGTTTATGAACTGCTACCTTTCCTGACAGTCCTGACATTTCATCAAAACTCCAGGTGAAGCAATCTTTGAATTATGTTAACAATTTGATCAATTTTGAAGATTCTTCATCATTGAGTAAAGATCTTATAAAGGTAGGTCGGGGTTGTTCTTTTGTCCCAAGGTTAATTTCCCTTAACTCGTCGACAGTTGACTTGATTTTCTCCTCAAATTCTGGCGAAGCAACTTCTATTGGTTGATCATTAGAGTCATCCTCTATATCGAGGCAATCCTCTCCTGATTTACTATTAACAACCATGCAAAATTTTGAATCATCGATTGGTCCCACTGTACCAAATCCAAGACCCTCTTTCGAGTTTGGAGTTCAACGTTTAACACTCCATAATTTTTCAAAAAGTTGTATTTTACCTTTTAGCATTTGTTTTAGCAAATGTCCCTGTTGAATTAACTTTTGTACATATGGCTAAAAGTAATCAAAAGGCAATTCCATTAGTTTGTTAGGATCATCATCCAAATTTACATGATTTTCAAGATTAGTAGAGGTAGAAGCACGATAAAATTTGATCGGCTTTGAACCAACACTACGTAAACTCTTGTCCTCTAAACTCTCGACCTTTTGAGGGAGGATCAGAGTAAGGGTCATAGTATTCACATAGTGGCTTATCCGATCTTACATTATTTCATATTCACTTTTCTTCGTTTTCTTCACTTTTCTTCGTATCTTCTAAGGATATCTTGTACTGAGGTTTCTTCTATTTTGTCATCATTATTTCATCTTCAGAATTGTCTTCATCACCAATGTTGATGGTTGTCCTAGTCCGTTAAACAATTAGATTGATGCTTTCTTGTCCACGTCACCGGCCTCGACCTCGGGTGTGCAAACCAAAAGAAGCTCCACCGATTTAATGTAGAAGGGTGGAGGAAGATTGTTGAAGCAGATTTGAATGACATCCTTTTTATGAGTTTTCTGAATCTTCATTCTTGTTTGTTGGAATCTAGCACGAGAAGACTATTTTCTTTAGTGGCGCGTAGTAGGCAGCATCTTCATGAGTACCGAGTTCATGAATTGAAAACGGTTGTAGATCTCCTTTGATGCAATAATCTTGTCCTTCTTTGCAGTATTTGATGCACTATGTAGAGATGATGGAACCATGTTGTGTTCATGAATCCACGGTCGACCAATCGACCAAGTAAAAGAGGTCTCAGTGTCGATGATAAGAAATTTAGTGGTTGTTGCTAGTTCTCCAACCTTCATAAGTCCTTCATAAGTAATGTGATATGTGATCGATCCAAGGGAACTTTCTCCTTTTTGGTTAAATCCTCTTAGCATCATTTTATCAACCGTAAGCTCTTGGACTTCGATGTCGAAATACGCAAATGTCCGTAGGCACATCAAGTTGAGAGATGCTCCTATATCTACCAGAACTTTGGATAATACGAATCTGTCGATGTTGACGGAGATGTAGAGTGGTCGATTGTGATCGATGGTACCAAGCAGCAAATCTCCATCTGTGAAGGTTACCCGTGACTATTCTTTCAATGAGCAAACTTCATCTGAGGATGTGCTGGCCAACTGAGCTAGACAAATCTCTAGGTCAAGCAAAAATGTAACCAGAGCTTCTCTCATCTCTTTTGACAAGATCAGACATCATAAATTTATTAGTCGGGTCGGCAACTTCCTAAGATGAGCTAGTAAGTTGTAATTCAATTTGTGTGATCCTCCAGTTTTCTCTTAACTGTGTGGTTCTTCCATTGACGGAGTTGGAGGTAATTCCTCTTGAGTTACTATTTGTTTTCCTTTGTCTGTAGTCGCTATCCTTGGGGGCAATACTTTACCACTTCTTAAGTTTATTTCCGTAATTTCTTCTTCTTGAGGTATCATTGTTGAATCTTCCGGTGTTTCTTCTTATTGTTGAATCTTCCGGTCTTCCGGTGTTTCTTCTTTGTCGGAGAGATCTAAGTTGAGGGTGAGTGGTGCACCATGGTGCTCTAGGGTTGGCTCCTCGCTCTCGGTGCTATCGTAAGCGGTATCGTTGATGTCTTCTTCGGTATTGTTAGCGAGTTCATTGGACTCAAGTACAATTTGAGGATCATTTTGGGAATTGAGATAAAGGTTAGATTGGTCATGATTGATTACGTCATCACTAGAAATAGTTAAAACGTAGCCGAAATCCCAATCATTATATTCATCAGTCCTTGGAGGGGTAAAAAGATAATCATACAAACTCAGGGGTTTGAGGATTTTCTTTCCCGAATCCGAGACAGCCAATCTAGAAGAGGCAGCCCCTATCTTACCCCCCATGCTATCAATCCTTGTGATGACATTCTTCTTTTTCTTTGACTTGGATGACGACGGCTCTTGCGGTGAAATTTTCATCTCGGGCCTGGCGGGCTGAAGACTTTGAGTGGTAGTTTGCTTTAAAGCATTATGGATTTGATTTAACATCTTCTTAGATGATTTGCTCCAAACTTTATCCCATCCATCTTTTCCGGCATGTGTGGAAGATTGTTTTGATGAATTATGTATTTTGTTTAGGAGCCTCTTAGGTTCTTTTAAATACTCTTTTGGGATCGTTATATTTCCTTCTTTGAGATTTTTCTAGAGCCAATCCTTAAAGATGAAACATTCTTCTATTGTATGTCCCAGTAATCTGTGATATGGGCAATAATTCGATTGATCCTTCTTATCGACCTCTTCGGGTTTCTTTGGGTCTGGTAGTTTGAACTCGGGCTTCATCATCAATTTTCTAAATATTTTAGCTACAGCTTCATCTTTGAAAGAGTACACCATTTTTTGTCATTATGTCAGAGATATTCTTTTATTCTGTGATGATCCTCCCTGAGACAGTCGTTGGTTAGACTGGCTATTCTGTTTCGGAGCCTGCTGTGACGAACATTGACGAGGAGTTTCTGCATATATCATTATCGGTTATTTTCCTTTATCAACAGTTGCGACGGTTTCAGATTTCTTTTCAAACACTCTGGTTGTCTTTGACTTCTCGTGAGAATCCATGTGTTTGATTTCTTCTTGAAGACTGCTAGTCTTGCTGAGTAGCTACTTGAAGGATTTGATGGTGAGTCCCTACAGCATGAAAGTTATGGGTCCATGAATGCTTTTGAGAAGGATCTCAATCGCATGATGTTCCTGTAGCTGAGGTTCGCATTTCATGCTAAGGTTTCTCTACTTTAAAATGTAATCCACCAAAGTCTCGTTGGGCTTTTGTTTCTCCATCATGAGTTCTCCTATAGAAACATGATGTTGCACTCCAGCAAATTTCTTTATAAATAATTGCTCCAACTCAGCGAACGTCTTAACTAATCCTTTAGGCAAATTGTCATACCAATTGAAAGCAACTCCTGACAGGCTGCTGACGAACTGTTGACAGAGTAAAGCTTCGTTATTTCTTGTATTGCCACAACTGGCTCAGAAGTGTGTTAGGTGCTGTCTGGGATTTCCGATCCCATCAAATATCTTGAGGTTTAGGAATACAAAACCCTTAGGGAAAGGTACGTCATCAAACTCTTTCGGGTAAGGTTTATCTTTTAGAATCAATGCACCACCCTTAGATTGGGTTAAGGCATCCCGAACTTGCTCAACCATCTGTTTGAATTCTTTATCTGGCATGGCGCTTGATGGAGAATCGTTCTTTGGTTGCTCATCCCTGTTTGCTGAGGAAACTTCTCTTCTTTCATCTGTAATATGTAAGATTTTTGGTTAGTTAATCTCTGGAGATGCTAGTTGCGTCACTTGTGATTGCCCTTGAATTGTGGCCATAGCGGTCATGGTGGCGGCCATCTCTTCTATCCTTTTCTTCAATAGGCTGACTTGCTCATCCCTTAGGAGGATAGCCCAGCGCAGCTCATCTACGGCGTTCTCTTCAGTAGAAGGTTGAGTGTTGCACGCAAATGCAGTGACCCTGGTCTCGATAACATGGACATCCATGAAATCTTCTTCTAGGTAAATGTTATAGTCAAAATTTTCATCATCATCATCGATGGAAACTCCATGTTCCCGAGCCAGCTCAGAAATCTCAACTCTGAGCCTTTTAACTTTTTCTTTGATTATCAATTATTGAATCATCTTAAGATCTGGAGGACCCTGCTAGACATCCTCTACTTCTTCTTCCATCTCACTGGAAATCGTTGTGACAATGTTAGATATTTCGGACCCTGGCTTCATTCTATGATCTTGCCCTGCGGGATCATTGGACTGTATCGGTGCAGCAACCTTGGGTATCCATATTTTCCTCTTTAACGATGATGTCTCAGGATGGAGTGTCCTAGCAGAAACATTGGTATGTCAAGGAGAAATATGCTCCTCATGGTGTAGACTAGATGCAATATCAGGTAACCTCTTTATCTTTTTCTATTTAAGAATAACTTTGTGATGTGTGCTTGGTAGGATTCTCGGACCCAGTCTTGACTTAACTGGTCGACGGCCTGTGATTCTGGTAGCGGTGGAATCTGTAGTAACAGCGGCAGTATCAACCCTGTTTCCCAAGCGGAACCAGACGGGAATGCAAGCAGGCAGATTTTCATTTGACTTTTGTTTGGCGGACTTGATGTCCCTTAAAATCTCTTCCTTCATTTGTGGGGATATTGCATGTCCCACTCGTTTGAGTAACTCACGGACTGAACAACCTCCTTTGCCAGCTAGTCTCTGAAAAACTGAGTTGACTCGAGTGATAGGGGTAGACTTCTTTTTCTCGCTATCCTGTCCATGAAGTGATGGTAATGCAACAACAATCTTATTGACACTCTCGTGTTCGTCGGTGTCCACTAGATGATGAAATCTGCTTCATCGTAGCAGTGGATATATTTCTGGTAGTTCAAATTCCTCTTGGTGTGGCTCTTCCTTGACGGGTGTTTTCTCAGAAGCCTGGGCTTTAGCAGCCTTCCGAATCCTCCTATTGCGATTTCTTTTCTGAGTTCGGGTTAGCGGTGCAGTCTTTGAACTTGGTCCGATTTCAAACACTGAAGGTGGAGCAGCTAATCCTTCAGTTGGATCCTCAACTATCTTCAACAATCAGTATTTGTTTTCCCTTGGTAGTAGGAACAGTAGGTTTGGTAGGCGCTGCGGTGGCAGTAGCAGTCTTAGCCTTCTTACAAGAAGGTAATTTCTGAAGACAGTTCAGGTTGAACTCAGCAGATGGCTCCTGAATTTCTGGAGGGGTGACTTTCATCACGAAAAACGGAGCTTTTCTGAGGATGACCTCAAGGTCTTCAAATCTGGCAAATCTGGCACCAAACTTAATGGTGGGAACAACGTTGCGGGCTTCACGGCTTGTTGGCAAGTTGCAGAAAAAAGTTAGATTTGGGCAGGCCATTGCAGCAACTTTAAAAGAAGAAAGCTCTAGGGTTTGCTATGTGGCCAAGAACTTGTAATCTTAATGCAAGCACTAGAAATTAATAAAGATTAGTCTGTCGGCCGGGTAAATTTTAGTTTGTGGAGATTTCAAAAATTTTAATAAAAAGGTGATTTGAAAGTAGAAAAAAAATTTAATTTGTAAAAAAGAAAATTTGAAGCGCGCGCAAGACAACATAACTTTGATTTAATTTGCACAATAGCAATTCAAACTTGAGAAGGAGATGTGAAGTGTTTAGGACCCGATGCGGTACCTATTTAGCAACACATAATGCTCAGGTGGAATTTAGTCCACCAACACTTCTATTGGGGTCGTACCCACATGAAGATTTAAAGAGTCCTTAATGGCCTCCTGAACCCCTCTGTTTAAAGATGATTGAACATATAGTCCAAAGAGTTGACCGTACTTTCCAAGGCAAAAATGGGTAAAGCATGCCAACGAAAGAAGGGAAATTTTGGTTCATAAAAGACTTGAATGCATTAACAATGTATGAAGATACTTTTTCTGTTTAAATGGAGAGAAAAGCTCATCCCCAGTGGAGTCGACAAAAGCTTTTGACACTAAAAAGTTGGGGGAGTTGCCCGTAAGAAGCTGTCAGTCACCGGAATGGAAATCTCATCGCCCGCTTCGAGAGGACGCTTAATTTACATATAGATTTAAGTTTAAAAAAATATGAAAATCAAACTAACTCCATATTTTTTATTATTTAAATAAAATAGCGCTTTACCTCAAATCCTGCATCTATCCCGAAGGATAAACACAAGACTTGAGGGTTAGGCTCGATCAAATAAACTAAGAAAGATATGACATTCGTTTGGTCTGTGAAACCATTTTATTTGCCAACAAATTCTCCTATTTAATATGAAAAATTAAATAGATTTTATATTAAGTTGGGTTAGAGAAAAGCTTCCTATAAAAGCAAACCCCTATAGTTAATTACGTCTTAAATGACCAAAGTCATCTAAGAAAACTCTCGATAAAAACCAGGAGAAATTATCTTCAAGGAGGTTAAAAGGATAGGACTTTTCAACAAAATCGGACAAAGAGGTGTGCAAAGGGGAATGGTTCAAACTTGGAACTTTTATTGTAAAATACAGAGGAGGAAGAATTAGGGGAAGTCATGGATCCGGAGGAGAACCTTGGTGACTTCCCGGTTTATCCTATTGTTTGGCTTCAGTTTTGAGGAGAAATATTTAAGTGTTTCATTCTGCCAATTTTATTAATTAGGGCTTACATTCGTGTGACACAATCACACAAATAGCCTGGAAGATGTGAGGGTTTAGGTCGTGACAACTGACAACCTCGGAATCCTAAGACATGTTAGGGCTTACATTGTATAACAGGGCTATGCGAAGGCCTAAAGATGATGTGAGGATTTATATTGCATAAGCAAGCAACCTTGAAATCCTATGGATTTAACGAGTTTAAGTTTTCTAGGGTATCCAGTTATGATGTCAAATCAGGTGGCCTTATGGTTGAAGTTCTTTAAATTTTATGGAGCATGTTAAAGTTGATTAAAGCGACACCGGTTAGGATATCACAGTTCCCTTGTTCGGGCACCACTATTTTCTATTGGATTTACTTAGTCCAAATGAATTTAATAAACTCAACTTAATGAGTTCCATAATTTCATTTAGACCGTGGCAAGCCTCATTAGCAACCGTAGGTTACCTCCTCTGAGGGATTCTCGATCATCTGATAGAGACATCTTAATTTAGTTGCAATTGTAGTTTTGTGTGATGTTTGTGATTAAATTTTGAGTTATTTTATATTTTGAATTTTGTGGCGATGAATTTTATCTTGGTTGATTTTAACTTTAGTTTTCAAAATGTTGTGGGGGTGATTTATGCAATTTTATATTTTCTATGCAGGTATGTAAATACAAGCATAAATAAAAGTGCAGTAGGAAGATACAAGACAAGAAAGACGACACTGTAAACTGTAAAAGTGTACGTGGAGAGTCTTCTCGTTCCATCACCTGAAAGAAACTCAAAATGCATGTC